ATAACATTGAATATGATAAGATTAAGTCGATAGGAAATATAGCTAAATCGTATAAGATACAAAGAATTCTTGAAGAGTCGTGACTAAACTTCAGCGATGACTTGTTGTTCATTAAAAGGTTAAAAAATAAATTATACTTTAATTTTGTGTATTAAAAAGAAAATACTACTCTATTTACCACTTTCAACGTCGTTCAACTAGAGTTGTAAGCTGACTTGCATACACCTGTACTTCCAACTAGACATTGATTAAGTGTGAGCGAAAAATAGACTTCATAGAGCAGAAAAATGATTATCAAATTTTTCTCTCAATGGAATATGATGGCAAAAGTCTCCTAAATAATCACTATATTTTGTATAGATCGTGTACACTTCATGTTACTTATATTGATTCGTGACACATAGTAACAGCATTAAAAATCTTAGAAAAAGATCTCTAAATTGGTGAATAAGTTCATATATCTATTCACTCAAAAGCAAGAATACAGTGACTCATATAGATTTTCTTCATGGTTTTCTTTCTAAAAACTATCCATTGGATTTCTTATGACTAACCAATACTTATCGATTGTTTTCGGTCGTGTACCATAGAGCGATTTAAATGAAAGTGAAATATTTCTTTTTAAAAATTTTTTATCATTTAATTCATCGCTTCTGTTTATTTGGTTATAGTCTTTCGCAAAACAATATTATTATTAAGCATATGATATAATTTTTGATTCGACAAGTGAATATATACAAAATGATCATAGAAATATAAAGTTTTTTTTCTCTACAACGAAGAATATTCATAAAATTCAATGATCTATTTTTTTTTTTTCCATCTATTCTTCGTTATGAAATAATCATCGTTTATTCGTCAACTACTGACAACTATTGAACGTCATTAGAAAAAAAACTCGGTTTGACTATTGATTTAACCAATGATAATATGATTGAATCTATCTTGATAAATTTCTAGTTTTCGCAAGAAAAGATTTTCTATTCTGATTTTTAATAATCAATGGAACTATAAATACTAACACAGTATGAATCAATTTAGTTATGTGGTTCCAACTGACCGTCACAGCACTATCAAGATACATTTTATATTCATATGATATCTATAATAACCGATTGTTTATTATAGGTCCTTATCCTACATCTAATGCGGCAGTACAATCTTTCATTTTATCTATCGAGTGAGTCAAAATGATCTCACCACATACCTTAATCTTATAGTGCTGAAGAATTTGTTGTAAAAGATGCACTGTTGAATTTTAACAAGAACCACCATGAAAAGTCTCATTGCATTGTTTTAATGATTTTCTTATAAGACTAAAATTAAAGCATGATATACTGTAAAAAAAGAAAGTTGAAGGAAAATAATATAAAAATCATGAATGTTCAATGAAAATATGATCATCTTGATGTTGTTTAACTTTACCAACTCCTGAAAGAACCGATCACTTTGCGAACATCACAGAAATAATCTTCTCGTTTTGATAATTGATGTTCTTACTGACATGATCTCATAAAGAGTAATCTAATGGGTTTAAGTTTAGTGAATTAGGAGCTCATTAATCTGTATGTATGGCACTTGAGATGTATGAACTTTTCTTTCCATTGTCATTTAAAAAATTCGAAGGATCTTTTTATAAAAAAATATTAAAGAATTTTGCGACGCATATTAAGAGAAAATGATTTAAGGTTTTATTATTTGGTGGAGGTGAGATATATCTAAAATAATCGAATATATGATCATCACACAGTGCCTCAGTTTTTACCTTGCACAAAAATCATTAAAATAATTCAGTGGGACTGCTCATAGCCATTCTTATAGAGAATTTTACGATGCATCTATCAAAACGAAATTCAACATTATGGAAATGATATCTGTGTTGAAATATTTGCAAAATATCCAGTGCTGCTATCATTTTGACTCACCTCGTGTATGCATTCGCTTCCAAATATCTCTTATTCTAGAGAATTAGTTGTTCTATCATTCTGTATAGTCAAAAGAAACTTTTATTTTGGAGTTGTGAGTGTTGAAAAACTAGATTTTAGACTTTCTTGAGAATCTAGGTTTTGGGAACACTGTGAGAATTTCGTTTTTCTCAAAGCTTTGTTTGCAATAAATTTCTTGATAAAAATTAGTATTTCGCTTGTTCATATCAGTTACCGTTACGGAAAAAGTCAAAATTAAATCTATATAATCAATTTTTGAAGCTATTGTAAATAAAATATACGTACCGAGTATCGTTTACATAGTCAAAATAATAATAATCAAAGCTCGCGATAGTTTTTAGAAATGGAAGGGGATAAAAATTTGGCAGGCAATTTTGCCTACGTGACGTAGAAAATAGGAGGAACTAGCATATCTCCTCGCTTTCTACGTCATGATTCATGCTTAAATAAATATTCAATCTACAGAATTTTCTTAGTTTTAGATGACAACAAAAACATCAATACAACGTAAAGTTCTTGAATATGAAACATTTTTAAACGATCGTCTTCGTGTCGATTTACAACGTGCATGGTCAGAACGTGATCGTATTTTTTCTGAAATTGCTGAATATGAGCGTCTACGTGTTACATTAAATACCCTTGATGAAATGTATAAAAATCGTAAAGAAACTGATGTAGATGAATCATTACAAACACAAATTGATCTTGGTTGTTCATTTTTTGTTCAAGCTGAATGTTCAATAAATAATCGAATATTTATTTCGATTGGCTTTGGTCTTTTTTGTGAATTAACGTATGATGAAGGAAAAAATTTTATTGATAAAAAATTACCTTATTTACATGAACAAGAAATTGAATTATCAAATAAAATTGCACATATTAAAGCTAATATAAAATTAGTTTTAGAAGCATTAAAAGAAATACAAACAATTGATGATAAAAAATCCGCAACGACTATATTACCATTTTGATTATTTTGTTCTCTTTTTTTGTTTCTCTATTTGATTTTTGTAAAAAAAAAAAAAAAGGAGCACAACTTATTTGTTTTGTTTAATTCGATTTCTTTTGAATCTATAAGATTAGGAGATATAGCGACATTTTCACTGAAGAGAAAGTATGATCTATTCGATCATGTTAGTGACTTGTGAAGTAATGAAATATACGCCTGTTGGAGAGAGCAGTGTCTGAACTACAAATGTTGTGCCCGATATATTTTTCCAGAACCGATTTCAGAAAGAGGAAAAGTCAAAAATCAAACACCTCTAAAAGAAAAGTTCTTGCAACTTCACCGTTGAGTAATGTTATTTCTATTTCTATTTTTATTATTTATTCTTTTATATTAGAAGAATATGGGAAAAATGCATGTATTGATCCTATGTCGTGCGAATTGTGGTTCTCGTGCTTAATTTCTTTAAATATTTTGCTGCGTACATAGTCTTAAGCCTTTAAAAAAATGTTAGAATTCACTCGAAACTGCAATTTCTTAAGAATGTAAGTTTGATCATGTGCCCTATGCCCAGTATTGCACCCAGAACATTAGCGACTCGCCAGACTTAGGTGGCAAGCGAGTCAGATACAAGAGGACGAATGATTATTTCATTCTCTTAAATCTAATTGGTTATCCATCAAAGTTTAGCAAGTTGTTAGTAGTCCTGGTCCACCAGTGAAGCCTATTCCAATCACGTCAACAATTTTCATTTGATTTCCGACTTTGATTATTTCTTGAAGATACCACCACCGAAATGGTCATTATTTACGAGATTTAATGCTCAGAAAAAGCGAAGCATCATCTGACAGGGTTGGCATTGATACATTCAAATTGATTTTTTTTTTGAGTAGAAATCGAGTTTTTCAAGACAGAAAATGGTAATTTTATAGGAAGTTCATAAAATAGTAAATCATTCGAATCGTCGGTTTGATAAAAAGTTGACGACATGGATTTTGATGTAAATATAAGAGGTGCGTGGAAAGTCACCTTTTATATAATACACTATACTTCTCCTCTGTGGTTAAACCGATTCGAGTGGTTTTTTCTCTCCTTTGATGGAGTTTCGAAAAACAACATACAGTTCTCTCTGCTGATTGTTTTCATTTTTTTTTCTTCTGGACTTTTCATTATACGGTTGGCTTTCTCTTACTTCATAAATATTTGTATGACACGCTTGAAAAATTTATGCAATTGGTACCTTTCTTCAAAGCAATTCGTTCCTTGCTCATCAAAAATTTTGATAGGAAATGAACTGATGTAAAATTTTAGAGTTTTCAGAGTCACGGAGTTTAGGACTAATGTTCTAATTTTTAAAAAACATGCCGTGTAAATATCTATGAATTCAACCAAGAAAGTCTGTATGGTGAAAAGTCCAGAATAACGAAAACAATTCAGCTGAAAACTCTACATGCTGTTTCTGAAAGATCAAAACAAGATACTTTTTATGTATTCGATCTGAAAGTTACGACTTGTAACTTTATAAATAAGAATTTAAAAGTCTCATCTATTATCAGAGCAAAGACCACTTGATTTGGTTTAATTGCATTTTATATGTATAGTTTTCTTTCTGGTAGGTTTTTTTTTGGACACTCTGTACCAATTCATGTTTCAGTTTTGAGAAAAATAAACTAAGTGATGTGTTCTATTGCCGAGTTTATAATGAGCACTCATGTATATGTGATATAAAGCAGATCTTCTTTCATTTTGAACATATGACACAAACATTATTTCGACCTAATCGAGTAATACAGAAATGGACTATTGTAATGACAATCACGATCCTTCATTTATGATAAACTATAGTGTATATATAATGCTTTAAACACATAGACAAGGTACGAAAAAAAAACAAAAGAAAGAGAAATAAAACTTGTAGTCATTCTCTTTTGTTATTCGTATGACAAACCGAAACGAAGATAGAAACAGAGAGAGAGAGAGAGATAAAAGTAAATATAACCAATTTATACAGAAGCAGTTACAATTACGACCGAATATTGTGATTATAATAATGATAGTAATCCAGCAATCATCAATTACGTATATATAAATATGTAATTTGTTTTTAGATGTTTGCTAAACGGCAATTTTCATGCGTCATTTCAAAACGTTTGTATTGGTCTTTTTTTATTCGTTATCAATCAACGACAACTACCGATCTAATTAAAACGTCTCCATCTGATATTGAACGGAAATCAACCATCGATTATACACCATGGGCAACATCAGAATCAAATGGATTAATTAATTATTTATCTGCTCGAATTAAAACTGTTGGACCTATAACTGTAGCTGAATTTATGCGTGAAGCATCGTTAAATCCCAAATATGTATGCTATTGATCATTGTATTTGTTTTTTTTATATATATATCGAAACCAGTCAACAGAAAAAAATATATTGCTTATTATTACTTTTCTTCTAGGGTTATTATACACGGCATGAAGTCTATGGTAAAAAAGGTGATTTTATCACGACACCTGAAATTAGTCAATTGTATGCTGAAGTAAAAGATTTTATATATTATTAGTTAATTTTTTTAACAATTAAATATCTATTAGTTATTAGCTAAATGGCTTATGCAAGAACATTCAACAATTGGTGGAAATGTTTTACAATTAGTCGAAATGGGACCTGGTCGAGGTCTAATAATTAATGATATTATTAAAGTAAATATTAATTTGATAAGAAATAATAGGAAACAAAAAAAAAATCAAATTTGAAATTGTTTACAGGTATTAAAAAAACACAAATATTCTCATACACATACATTTTTTGCTTTGTATGAAAATAATCTACATATGCGACGACGTCAAGCTGAAACATTACTTGGACGATCGGTATATAAAATCTGATGAATATATATATATATATATATATATCAAAAATTTTATTTTTTTATGTTTTTATTAGTTTAATCCATTAGTTGCGAATGATTATCGAATAAAAGATGGTAATTATTCTCTTATATGGATCGATGATTTTAAACAATTACTTCCTCATGATACATATATTATTGCAAATCAATTTTTTGATGTTTATCCTATACATAAATTTCAAGTAAAGTTCATTTAGTAAAAAACAAACTAAAAGAACAACTTAGAATATTTTTCTTTTCAATATTCTATAGAAAACATCACAAGGTTGGAAAGAAGTTATGATTGATTGGAATCCAATAACAAAACAACTTCAATATGTGTTATCATTAAAGCCAACATCAATGATTAGACTTTATGAAAATGTATATTTTATATTCTATAGATATTCATTTAGTTGATTTAATTTAGTTTCTTAATAATATCAAAGATAGACAACATGTAGAAATCAGTCCACAACGTGCAATGATAATGCAATCTATGTGTACGCATTTAATGAAATACGGTGGTTCAGCTTTAATAGGTGACTATGGTCATTGGGGTGAAAAAGGTGATACATTTCGTGTATGTATATTTTTCTTGATTAAAATTATAGTTTCATTTTTGTTATACATAGGCTTTTCGTAAAGATGAAATAGTCGATCCACTTTCTGATCCTGGTAATATTGATATAACATCAGATGTTGATTTTGAAGAATTATCAATGCGTGGTATGCAAGTACCAAATGGTAATAATATTTAGTGACGTAACCAAGGAGAGTTGACTATCGCTGATCGAGGTCACGCTAACTAAGCTTCGCCACTAGACAGAATCCAGCAATTTGATATCTCTCCTCGACGGCTAAAACTCTGGTTACGTCACTAGTAATTTTCACTAAAAACAAACTTTTATTAATTTATTTTATCGAATTTCAGTTCAATTTTTTGGACCAATTTCTCAAGGAAATTTTCTCTATAATTTGGGCTTGAATGATCGATTAACAGTAAGAGATGATATTTTGAATAATATTTATTATGAATAAAAACTTTTTTAGAATTTAACATATGACAAAACACCTGAAGAACAAGAAGAAATTTTAAGTGATGTGGAAAAATTAGTTAGTTCAGAATATATGGGTGATAGATTTCTTTATATTTGTGCACAACGAACAAATAAAATAAATGCACCTGCGGGTTTTTCTTCTTCAAATTGAATACGAAAAAAAACATAGAATTTTTGTAAGAGAATTTTTTTTTCAGATGCCAGGAAATTTTATTAATGAAGTTAATTCATGCGTAGAAGATTCACTTATTGGTTATGTTCGTACGCATGATAATTTAGAATTAGCTGGACGAGCAGTTATTTCACGATCACCAATACGATCCGTAGCTGTTATTAGTGGAAATGGAGCTGGTCATGAACCAGCAATGGTTAGTTGAAAAGAATAAATTATCGTTGAATTTTAAAAAAAAAATTTTTTTCTATGTTTAGATTGGATTTGTCGGTCGTGGATTATTAAATGCTTGTAAGTTCATAATTGGATTAATCTTTAGAAATAAATATTTTAAAACTTGGTATTTTTCAGGTATATCAGGTCCAATATTTGCATCACCACCATCAGCAGATATATTTCGTCTCATTGTGGAAATGAAACGTCGTGGTGCTAAACAAATACTTATAATTATTCTTAACTACACGGGAGATCGTCTTAATTTTGGTTTAGCTATGGAACGTGCTAGAGAACTAGCTATTGATATTGATATGTTAGTTATTGCTGATGATATTGCACTTAATAATCCTATTGGGTAGATAAAAAAAACAAAACATTCGATGATTGTCATGTTTTCTTTTCTTTTTCTTTTCTAGGCCTCGAGGTTTAGCTGGAGCTTTATTAATAATTAAAATTGCTGGTGAACTAGCTGAACAAGGTAAAAATATGACTCAAATTGTTGATATTTGTCAAAAAGTACGTGCTCATTTACGTACAATTGGTTTATCTGCTTCGGGTATTCGAGCACCGGGTCAACAACAATCATTTGATGTATGTTTTGAAAATGTTCTTTTTTCGAAAAGAACTTTACATGGTTCGGTGGCCTATACTGAACCAGGATGCCATATATGTAGTTATGTAAAGCAAGTTGCAGTGTATCACATACTATATAAAAAAATAGAGTTTTTACGGAAATTTGGATGTGCTAAGGGTAGATTATTGATATATTAACAATACTCAGCGACCTTATTAAACATTTTTATGTATCAATAATGAGCACAGCATGTCTGGTGAGCTGAAATAAAACAAAAGAAACTTTATAAACGCAAAAAGAAATGTTTGCCTCTAAGTCTCTGGAGGAGAGTAAGAGTGTAGGATTGCAGGCATGAGATCTATTATTTTTATTATTGCTTTTTGAAAATTTTTTTCAAGTATAAGTGTGATTTTTGCATGAACCTCTACAAGAATCTATAAATATCTCATGTTCATTTCAAAAAAATTTTTTTTTTCATATCATCGTACATCTGCCCCCTCTCTCCCCCTCCCCGCAGGCTGTCTGGAGGTTAAAAAATTTTTCTTTATTCGTAGAAGTGTTATTCATATCAGCTCATTAGGGTTGCTGTGCTCATTATCAATGCATAAAAATTTGTGCTGAGTCATTGAGTATTCTCAATATATCATCAATATAGCAAACATATCATATAACGCAAGAGGCTGTCCTAGAGGACAGTAATGCAAATTAGTAATGACTTCCCGCTGTTCCACAAAAAATAGTTATTTGCGAAACATATAAAAGTCGATAGAATGTAATGTTTTGAGCAAGCTTAACATTAATACTTATTAGTTCTGTGGTATAGATTTGAATACATGAGAATATCATATAATTAAGAAATAATCTAAATCTAAGAAAAGGTAAAATTTCTAAGTATGACGAAAGCAATGAAGAAAACGATTGATCATAGAAAACAAAGAGCACCTACGACTTTATCGAATTGAATTTAAAAGAAAATTTGCATCAATTAATATTTGAATTTTCTATGAATTAACCTTCGATGCAAATGTAATCGCTGAAATCTAAACACACGACTCCCTGCTCAGAAACATTATAGAGAGTTCAGTTTGTTTTCCATGTTGAAAGAGTAAAATTTGAGCTTTCAAAGAAACCCAGACAAAATTTTTTTTTCGATTAATGAATCAGATCTATTTGTTTCTCTATAATAAGTTAGGTTTGAAATTATATAATAATAGAACGTAAAAGTACTTTTGTCAGTCTTTCAAGTAGAATGGGATGAACTACGTTTTGATCCGCTTTACAATCAAAATTCATTACAAGTTTTTCATCGATTTCAAAAAAGAAGCCATCTACCATAAGCACATCCTTTGAAGATGTTTCATATCGAACTTTTTCTCACTCAAAATTATTTTCAGAAAATCTTTTTTTTTTTTTGAAGTTCACATTGTGTTGTTTCAATAGAAAAAAGAATGCATTTTCTACAAGATTTTTAAACGGAGAAACATGAGTCAAGATTTCAGTAATTACTTTTGCATCGTTGGTTATAATATTCATGATTACTCTATAACATCTTTCAAGTATTATAACCACTATATCGACTTTTACTGGATCAAAATTTTCATAAAATCTGATTTTTTTAAAATATATCATTCGATATCCCACAATTAGCTCGTTAAAACTTCACATATGACATGCTGATTCAGGATAAGTCACCAAGTTTGACGAGATCTTTAAAGACGTAATTTTGTTTTTAATTAGTTAATGGACGATGAAATGGAACTTGGCATGGGTATACATGGTGAAACTGGTGTACAAAAATTAAAATTATTACCAGTACGACAAACAATTGATTTAGCATTCGATCAATTATTTGTTGGTCCACGTACACTTGATCTTTCACCTGATACTAGTGTATTACTTTTTGTCAATAATCTAGGTTTAAATTATTATTTTTTTTGTTTTCTTTTATTTTTTTTCTTATTTTACTCATTATTTTTTAAGGTGGTTGTTCAAATCTTGAATTAGGTGTTATTGTTAAAGATGCTATTGAAAATTTAGAACAACGAAAATTACATGTTAAACGTGTCATTTGTGGAGAAATGATGACATCATTTAATATGAAAGGTTTTTCATTAAGTGTACTTAAATTGGCAACAGATATGAGTTCAACTATTTTAAATTTACTTGATGCACCAACTGATGCTTTTGCTTGGCCTAAAATGATCAGTCCAGTACAATCATCAAATAGTATTCAAGCAGTATCAGATTCATTAGAATTTAGTGAACAATTTACTTCACAAATTGTAATAAGGTAATAAATCGTTTTTTTTTTGAATGAAAAGAAAAAAAAATTAATTTACGATTAAACTTTTTAGTGAATCTCCTTTATCATTGGATTCATCTCATAGTGAATTAGTTAATCAAGCTCTTCAAGCTATTGTTAAACGACTTCATAGTGAAACAGATGAATTAAATCGATTAGATGCTGTTTCAGGTGATGGTGATACGGGTACGGCATTTCTACGAGCAGCTGAAGCCATAGCACGTGATCTAGCTAATAAAAAATTAGTACTTTATCGACCATCATCACTTTTTCGTCGTCTTGGTCTTATTGCAGAAAGTCGAATGGGTGGAACATCTGGAGCAAGTAAACTATTAACCATTCTTTTCTGAAAATTTTGGAAAATAATTCGTTTCTTTTTTTTGTTTTGTTCTTCTTAGTTTGTGGATTATTTTTTGCAGCGACAGCTAAACAATTATCATTATCAAAGTACTCAGGAAAAGTAATTGATAGTCTTTGTGATGCATTTGAAGCAGGAATACAATCCGTTGAATCCTATGCACGTGTGCAACCAGGTGATAAAAGTTTATTAGATGCACTTATTCCAGCTATTGATTTTGTTAAATCAAAACGTACACAACAAAATTTTAGAGCACATGATTGGAAAGACTTAGCAATTGTTACTCAACAAGCTGCTCAAGAAACTAGAAATTTTGTAGCTAAAGTTGGCCGAGCTGCATTTGCAAAACGCGTAGAAAATATGGTACCTGATCCTGGTGCTATAGCTGTTTCTATTATAATTCAAGCGATCTGTGATACCTTTGCTAAAGCAGCTAGTAAATAAATATGATCTAACACACACACACACATTCGAAGACCTCTACTGTTTTTCTTTCCTAGTCGTTTTATACATTTTTCATGAATTAGAATTTATAGATTTTAGTTATGATGCAAACAAAAAAGACTAATAATAATAATTGACATCTGCCTCTTTTAATATTATCTCTTTTAGTGATACTTTTGTTAACTTGTATTTCGATTTGATCTGTTATGAAGTTTTATCATTGTTTGTGGATGAATGTGTGCTATTAAGTTCTTTTTTTTCCATGAATTTGTTTTTAACAATAATCAAAGATAATAAAAAACAAGAACATTTTTTATGATAACTTATTGTTCCTATCATAAGTGTTAATATTGAACGATAGTGAGAATGGGCTGTTAACATATCGTAAGAAAATCAAACATTATGAAAGTTCGAAACGAACGACAAGAAAAGGGATTTATTCTATATTACGTGGGTTTTGGATATTTGTTTTACTATTTTTGAGTTTGGTTTCTCAGTTCAAACAATACAATTGGTAAACGTGCCGTACTGCGTTAAAGTCATGGTTAACTACAATATCTTAGTATACAATCGATAGCTTTTTTTGAGCTGTATCTATCGAAATCAACTGTGTCGTTTAAAAATATTCTTGAACTACGTTTTGTAATAGTCAATTTTTCTGTCATTCTTAAATCTATATAGAAAAATGTAGATATTTCTGCATAACACCAAAGTTCTGTAAAACGATTAGATTACATCAATTTAGTTATGATCTGCTGAAAGTATTTTCTAATTGTTGATGTCTCACTCTTATCAGATCATTGAAGATTAAAGTTTTTCCGTACTTATGCTATAAAAATCATGCAAGATTTTATCTTGTTATGTTTTGTGAACCTGATGCATAAAATTCGACAATAGTTTCTATCAATAAATGAACTCATCTAAAGTGTCATATCTCCAGAAGAACATCAAGTTTATTAAGAATCTTACTTAGAATAAAGAAAAAAAGTATTTACAGTCATTTGTAAAGAAAATATGGTTTTCTAGGACTAATTAATTTTACTTGTGTCGAAATCAGTACAAATAGTGTAAACAACATCATGCACTACACATGAAAAGTCCGCATTTAACTCTTGACAACCATAAACACAGTACACATAATAAACCGTAATAAATCACTTAGATTAGTAAGCTTCCAGAGAATTTCAACAATGCTTTTATCTTGCCGAAATTATAAACAAAAGTTGTTCATGTGCTTTACTATTGTAATGGATGGCTTATAAGGAAGGGGATACTATTATTTCTTTTTGTTTTTTGAAGATATCAACACAGTTTACAAACATCATTTTAAGCTCATTTGATACAGAATTTTTTTGCTCTGTGCAACTGTCGATTTTGTGCTTCAATATAAGTTTTTTTTGTGCAGAAATATCGAAAAGATCTAAGTTCGAAATATGCTTTAAGATACTCCATAAAATGCTGCATTTCGCAATATTTTGAAATTATAGAAAAGTCAATTGAAAGAACAAATTTTTAAATAAAAATTAGAAAACGACACAAAAGATTCTTTTGGCAGCTCTGTCCTATTAGTGATATTCTAAAGATTTTCGTTGTTCAGTTTGAATCCTACAATATTTTGTTCAGAAGTAAATTCTGTGTCCCATGATATATTGATAAACCGCTCAAAAAGGATGTCAACTTCGAAAAACAAGAGTTTCAAAACTGCATTCAAAACGAGATACTATCAGGTGTTTGTTGCAAGACTTTTACACCCGAACGACATCATTAGAAGGCTGGAAAAGTTCTTGAGAGTATAAAGCAAAAAACACTCTATCGATTGATGCTAGAAACCTTACATTTAAAATTAAACTTGATGAACACAATTTTGTACACATTGTTAGATGTTCACATAAAATAGAAGAAGATCGTCGTTGGGCATTGAAACAATTGTTAATCTTTTCATTTTTTCATTGACAAGAAAAACTTGTTTAAAAACTGAACTTCACATTTTTGTAGAACGAAAATTTCTCTACCAAATCAGCTTAGAATAGTACTTTTGAACAGTGTTTTCGTTCTTTAAAAATAAAAACTCAAACTGTCGCATTATTAATGTACCATTCATTATTATCGACTCTGAACTGTTTATGTATTAATGAATTTCTCTATTTTCTATCTACCTTTTCATTCTTAAAGCTTGCAGGTTTTCTAAGGTCTAGGTTATTTCTTGACTACTGAATATTTCAATGTGTTCAGTCCTATGCCACAGAACAAGTGAATATCAACGTGGAACTTTCTGAAAAAGTGTCCACTATCGAGCTTTATATGTTTCACAAATAATGTGTTTCGAAACAACAGAGAGTTATTGTCAACTTGGAAGATTGTTTCCTACAATAGACTTTTCGTATATGAATAGGTCAGTATATGGATGGTATTCTAATAATACTCAGCGATTCTGTTAAAAGTTTTTTTATAAACCAAGAATCAGCACAGCATCCTTCTTGAGTTGATATAAATAACTCATGTATAAAAAGAAAAGATTGTTTTCAGCTTCCAGATGCTTGAAGAGAATATGAAAATAGTTATTTTTGAAATAAACATGATATATTAATGGATTTTGCTGGAGTTTCATGCATGAATCAAACCTGAATATTCAGAATAAAAATTTCAAAAAGAAATAATCAAAATATCAAACCTTCTTTCTGCAATTCTACATACATAGTATTCTGCAGGCGTTGAAAAGCTAAACAATTTTCTTATTTTTATAAATAAATTATTGATATCAACTCATGAAGGTTGCTCTACTGATTATTGTTTCCTAAATATTTTTAACAGAATTGTTGAGTATTGTTAAAATATCGTCAGTTTACCGACTCTTCATATACGAAAATAGACTCTTCTAAAGAGCAATCTTGCAAGTTAACAACGACTTTCTACTGTTTCGAAGCATATCATTTGTGGAATAAATAGGCCTCGATAATGTACAATTTATCAGAAAATTTTATGTTGATGTCCACTTTTTCCGTAGCAGAGAGTTGAATACATTAGAATAGCAATTAGTTAAGAAATAACCTAGACCTAAGGAAAAGAACCAGTTTTAGATATGAAGAAAGCTACGATGAAAAATATTGATTATAGACAATCGGAGAGTACCGACAAGTGTATCGCATTCAGTTTAGAAACAAAACTCATATAAGTTTATCTTAGAACATCTTAGGGATTTGAGTATCTATGAGTATCATATATCTTCCTCAAGGATGACAATCAGTATGTGAATTCTAAGTACATCAAAATTTAAAGGAACTTGATTTCTTATGCATCATTCGATACGCTTGCAAACCATTCTATAAAAACCATATATATATATATGATATTCTAGTTCAAAACAGGTCACTATATTCTGTAATCTGCTTTTAATATTTGTCAAGAATAAATATCAGTTAATACTATGCAGGAAAGCATAAACATTTATAAAACATTTGTTTTTTTTTATTTGCTAGGTGCAATTGAATTATCGAGTGTGACAGTGCAAAAAAATGGGATGTATTCATATGTCAGAATGACATCTATAATAACTGCAGTACAATCAGTAAAGATACGATGGAAAATACTTGTCTGATTTAATAATGGAAAATTCATTGATAAAAGTAAAATATTTTTTTCTTAATTATATTAATCATCAAATACAATCATTTCTACGTCAAACTTAATGTGTGTCGTGTCTATACAAAAATAGAAACTAAACGTAGGAAGAAAAAATGTCGATGTAAACTGATAAAAATATTTTTCTAAATATGATAAGTCTAGTTAAGATAATCGAGAAACATATGAAGACAATATTATTCATCAAACATTACAACATGTCAAAATTGAACAATAGAAATCTCCATATTATTGTGATGAAAACAAAAATTAGTTCTTAACTTGTTTCAAAAAATGCAATATTTAAAAACAAACTCAATTTTGTTCTCTTCACAAAAAAAAATGTTCAAATAAATTTAGAAAAAAGTAAAATTATATGTATAATATTAACATTTTTAGAAAATCTGTATTTTTTTTACACCAAGGTCAAAAATACACAGTCGCAAACGATCGTATATAGAGAAACACGATGATTCATAGAGAATAAACATTCATTTACTCAGTTTGCAAAGGGAAACTGCATACGACCTTCGTCTTGCTCCAATTCTCTCCAAATATAATTGTATTGTTTCTTACAAGGTCACAAAGAAATATGTATTGTAATAATAAACCATATAGTATGGTGAAATACAGAATCTATACAGACAGCGGTAGCACGATTGGAGCGGGAAGGGGTGTAATACCCTTCAATCATGGAGATTTTTTGTTTTTTTCCCAGCAGAGCTCAGGTTTTCTTTTTCAATTCTGTTAGGAGTGAGATCTGTTCTCTTTGTAAAAAAAAATTGCGACACTTCCTCCCATGTTGACTGCTCGGGGCACCACTACATACAGACGTCCATGGACTCGGTATTCATTGATGTCAGAAACTAAATTCGAATTTATCTAACATGAAAGAGAAATTTTTCAGAGTGTGTTCTGATTTTATGTTTTCGAAACAAAAGTTTTACTTAACAGATGACGTGACTGCTAATAGATAAACTAATCAAGTCAAACAAGAAAAACAGATTCATAAGGATCTGAACGACAATTTTATGGTTTACAATTTTTCAAAAAACCTAAGTTTAATCGATGAATCAATTAGTAACAAAAGATAATATTTTTTGTTTAATTTTCGTCAGTTGTTTTATTATGAGTAAATACGATTCGTTCTTGTTTTGAAAATATATAATCGACTGTTTAACTTTATTGTCATATGTTCTTATTTACTCTTGAACTCTACGAGTATGTTTTTGATTGAAAGAAAACCTTGTTCAAATATTCTACAGTTAATTGAAGTCTTATCAGTTTTCGAAAGAATCTGCCGATAATATTCCTGTCAAATGGTCTAATTTATAGCTAGATGAAAATGAGATTTCTATTCTAAACTATTTTCGAGAATAAAT